GGCTGGATATGCCGCAGATGGCTCTCTCCGACGGGGTGAGCCGGCGAGACTCGACGCTGGTCAGTGAACTCTACTGCCATCAATGGACAGCTTGAAGCAGATGGAGTACAAAGCTATAGTTTACTCTGGTTGGTACCTCAAATGAACTGCATATAAAACCTGACAAATTATGTTATGCGCGGAAGAATACCGGGACAGTAAGTGCAAGCTGCTCCAACGGTTACTTGGAGTTTACCAAAAACGAGTCCCCGTGATACGAATGCATCAACTTCAGAAGAGCGATCGATTTCATCGAGCTGATCGATTTAGGGACAGTCTTGCATGACTGTGGCGTCTACCTTATCGAGGAACTCAATCCTGATACGGAAACCAACATCAGACTGTTTGAAGAACGGTGCTGAATCGACATCAAAGGAAACGTCGGCCAAAGAGACACCTGCTCTCCTAAACTTTTCGCAATGGCGCTAGAATCCATCCTCAATCCTCTGAACTGGGGCGGTGGCATTATCATCGATGCAGAACGACTCACCCAAAGACCCGGTGGAAACTCGAACCAAGATTTAGAGTTGCACAAGAGGTCAGACATCAGATACCAGATGTCCCTTTACTCCGCAGGCGACCTTCGAGCGTGACCGACGGGTCATTCGCCAGACAAGAAATGAACGCTCACAGATGTAACAAACGAAGGAAACTCAAGTCAGTGCTTCTACTCATGATACCGAGAACTTGAAAAGAGGCCGCTGAGGTTAAACGGCAGATGATCAAGGAAATGCTTAATTGATTTTCTACCGGCAAGCTACCTTGATTATCGCTGTTTCCTAGGCAACGACTTGCTCTGGCTTGGTCGTTTTCCGCTGCCGCTGTCATATTTTCAGTAATGGCTGAAACATAATTTTGTACAAGTAGGATAGCAATGAACGACCTGAAAGAAGAGCCGTTGGATCAGGAGGACGATGAAGATTCTACCACCGAACACTTTCTGAAACTTGTCGTGTTGGGAGACTGTCGCGTCGGGAAGACATCGATATGCAGTAGGTACGTCAATGGCCAAATTGTCAAAGAGTACCGGCCAACGGTAGGTTTGGACTTTTTCTCAAAATGCGTGGAACTTCCCGGCCGAGTGCTGATGTCACTGCAGATATGGGACATCGGTGGCAGAACGCTCGCAGGACCCATGCTGGACAAGTACGTGTACGGCGCAAACGGTGCAATGCTTGTGTACGACATGACCAGCGAGCCCAGTTTCCTGAATCTCGAAAATTGGATTGCACAATTGGTCGAGTTCACCTCTGGTCAACCAAAGGCCCCCATTCTCATGCTCATAGGCAACAAAAGCGATCAAGAATACATGAGAGCCATCAAAATGGAACGACACCTCAAGTTTGCTGAAAAGTATCGTATGCTGAACTTTTTGGTCTCGGCAAAGTTGGGCGACGGCCTGACACTTCCGTTCATAACAATGGGAAGCGAAATACTTGGAATACCGCTAACGTCCAGTGATGTTGAACAGAGCATTGCTGTCGTAAGGGCAGAACTTCCTTTTGACAACAGAGGAAGCCATTCAAACGGTGCCAGAACTCGACGAAAGACCACCCAAAGCAACGTGTGCTGCATGCAGTAAAAAGTTAAACGTCTCGAAAGTTCGTTAAGACCTTGGACCGTAATCAAAGTAGTCAACTGACTGACATTCGAAGAAAATCACATAGTCAACGTTGCCCTTCTTATGCGAAAACTTCACCATATTTCCTGAAACTTAGCTGCTTTCACACAGCAAGTAACTTTAATTGTCATTACATCATTGGAGGATATTATTTGTTTGC